TGCAATGCTTGTATTTAACTCTTGAGTTTTTTTTTCAGAAACGTGCCTAGCTATTGTTAGAAACTGATAATCACATGCTACAGAACATCTTGCATTTACAGTTCACCCTTTCTACACATGGCTCTCGGAGTGCTTCATGGGAAGAATAGTTGAAGGTACAGCATTGAATGTACCAGTGAGTCACTGAACAAACCAGTTTTGCACTTCAGTGTGAGGGGAAAATCAGTTCTAACTCCTGCTAGGGAAATGTTTTTCAGGGGAAAAAAATCCTGTGTCTTTGCTCTGCATTTGAAAGGCAACCCAACTGAAGAACTGGTTAACTTAAGAAGGAGTGAAGATAATGGAAGCAGAAATGTCACATTTATAAAAACATTTATAATATGGAGGCAGCAGTGGAATTTGAATGGGGAGAATTGAACTCTGCTTACAAACCTTTGGCTTGTAACAAGGCTGGGAAGAAGGAGCAGTTCACCAAGCCAATGGTTTGTAAGCAGGGTTGATGGATGAAAAACAAACTAGGTTAAATAGGGCCAGGGTGGTCCAAAATGATATAAAAGGCAAAAACCATGAGGTGGAAATTTAGAGAGTTCTGGTGGTTGAACGTTTTACATGTGGTCAAGGCAGCTCTGCTGAAATGTTTGCTTGTAAGCGAGTCTCACTGAATTTGGAAGACTTCTGAAGAAACTTAGTGGCTTAGGATGACAAGTAATAATCAATTTTGAAGGAGGAGGAGTGAGAAATGAAATGTCCTGTATGAACACTTTAATTATTAAATGTTTACTCTTTCTTCTGCAGATCTCAGGGTGCCCTGCATTTTCCTCCCTGTGAGGTAGGCATGATTGAGACTCTCCAACATTTTTCCAGATGTTATTTGTACCCGAAGATGCCATTCCCCCACGCCAAGATTTCTTTCATTGTGTGTGCTGAAGTTGCTTTCACTTACAGAGGACAGTATGTGCCACTTTCACAATATCAGCAGAACTGATTCTGCCATATTTTTCTCCCCACTGACATGGAGCAGCATCACTTCCAACAGAAAAATGTGATGATTTTGCCTGGTGGTCACTGCTTTTTGTGTGGAGTGCTTGGATTTTATTTTTGGGTCCTAATTTTCAAAACAACTCTGCAGCTGCAAATAATCACATGACCTTTTCATTAAAAACCTGCATTGCTGTACAGATGTGCAAACATTAAAAAATGTTTACAACATCAGGATCTGAAATAGCCTGTGTGATTTCCCTCTTGTCCTGCAACTGCAACATTACAGTTTTACTGTGGGGAATGTGTACTTGCTAAAATTCTCTCTTTCTGCAATTACTTCTAGAGCTTTACAAATGGAAGCCAAAGGAATGTTTGAGCATTTGAAAGAGAGGTTCTTTCCATTGCTTTGTTTCTGTTTCTGGAGAATCTTTGCCATCTCCACTGATGGGAGAGTTGTACCTTCTACCTGAAGGAAATGAGCCAAATAAGATGAGAGTTGCAGGGGAAGAAAAACTAAGAGGATTGAGCTACCACCTGGAAAACTGAGAAACAAGTGCCCAAAGAAATAAACTCCCTAACCTGGGTGACATTTTTATTAAGATCAACTAAAATAATACCACATGTGTTTAGCATGAAAAAGGCATCATAACCTATGTTTAACTGTACAGCTTGTGTAGAAATGTGTTTCTGAATGAACAAATACTGAAATACAGGGCACTGGAAACAAGTTAAGCTAAAGTAGTCATAGATCAGGTATCTTGTTTAGGGAAAGGAAACTTACACATGTTTTCCTTAAAACTTTACATGGAAATCCATCAAGAAGTAGTACATGCAACTTGCTCAATGCAGGGGCTTTTCACTTGAAAGAGGTCCATCAAGCAGGAGGTAAAGATGGCCAAAGAAGGAGATCCTTTCTATTTGCAACATGATAGTTACAGTGGCTTTCACTCAGAATGTAGCTTTCCTTAGTTTTTCTGTTCTTAGTTTCATATGTTCCATCAATCTCACTAGAAGTTCTCAGAATATTTTCTCCTAAATTTCTAAATATTGGAAGGTAGAGCACAGAGAAAAGTAGAGGCCTTAACCCCAGGGTGTTCCTATGAAGTTTTGGATTATTGGACTAGTACAATGGAAGTGGAAGAGAAGACATGGCTTACTTAGGTTCTTTGAGATCCGGTCCACCATCAGCACTTTATTGTTATATTTCAATGTTGTGCTTCCTCTAAGAACTTAGAGCAATGAAAATGGGGGATATGTGTGTCTGGCCTCTAGAAGATATATACTCATTAAATTCAAATGGTACACTAACAACCAGTTAGGGAACAGATTTGCCAGTTTGTACCTTTTGTTTATGTACTTAGATCTTTTTGACAGCCAATTTGGTGTAGTGGTTAAAGCACCAGGCTAGAACTGGGAGACTGTGAGTTCTAATCCTATCTTAGGCACAAAGCCAGCCAGCTGACCTTGGGCCAGTCACTCCCTCTCAGTCCTAGGAAGGAAGCAATGGCAAATCACTTCCAAAATCTTGCCAAGAAAACTGCAGGGCCTAGTCTAGGCTATCACCAAGAGTCAAAAACTCTTCGAAGGCACCAAAAAAAAAACCCCTTGTATCTTTATTAATAATTATAACCTGCCTTTCGGCCCCAGGCAATTCAAACATCATAAAGAATGCCTACAATCAATAATACAATTAAAATTCAACAAAAATAGTTTTATTATTTTAAAATATTTTTTAAGGCAAAGAAACAGACCAATAGATTACTTTTATAAGCAAAATGCTGAACTTAGTAAAATAATGGAAGCCAACAAGTAATTCAACAATTTCAAGATATAAACAGCAGAAAGTATACCCAGGAGCAATTGGGCTCCCTCATTCTTCTGATCTGGCCATCCTACCAATTCAACCCATTCATGGGCTAAGGAGGAGGCAAAGTCTGGGACCAGGTTGGAGCAGAGATTTCATTTGGCAGGATGCTTGCTGAGCAAAATCAAGACAGTAGTAGCAGCCTGCCAACCTTTTGTGTATAAAGTTCCTGAC